TAGCATCTTGTAATGCAATAAATATGTGTCTTGGTACAGAAACACCTTGCTGAGAAGCTGTTTGCCATGTAAACAAACCATTGATTTTACTCTGGATAGCATCTGTGGTCGTTGACAACCATGATAACATTGATGTACCACCTTGACTCATATAGATCGTAACCGATCTTCTTCAGATATTGTTGGAGCCATCACTTGCATCCACAATGAAAGCTTCGTAAGAATTACTCTACCATCATCACCAACGGATAGCCATATTGTATCATCGTCTGGTGCCTTTCGTACTAGTACAACTGTAAGTTTAGCTCCTAAAATAATCTTTCTGACATTTCTATAGAATCCAAAGATATGTGAATTGCACATGAAAACATTCTTCTATTACCTTTAAACATTGCTCGACGTGATCTAAATCCTAAGTTGAAATCTGGATCTACATTAATATTTATAATTTGTACATCCGCATCGGCGTTTCTGGCAAAATTTCTTGATCGTCCTATTTCATATAGTTGGCACTCTTGAGAATAAGGAGTATCTTTTGCAAACATCATTGATGGGCCAGCTGATCTTAAAAAATCATCGCTGTATCTTGCAAGACCAAGTAGTGTTGTAGCAACATCAACGTCTTTCTGAATTTTTTCAATATCTTTTCCATCAATCATGTACGTAACGCTGTAACATAACGCCACAATAACATTTTTAATAAAACCAACACTTACATCAGCGGCGAATTCAGTATTATCTGTTTTTAAAATTTCACCCTATACATTAGTAAATGATTCAGCGGGTAAGAAATATCTCCTTGTATCCTGAACTTGCAGTTCAATTCTTCCTCTCTAATTTGGAATACGTGCACCATAAGAATAATATTGATAATCACGCATCTTCAAGTACAAGTTCGTCCATGTCAAATGCTGGATCAAATACACTTTTGAACATCTTTATTATAATTATCATCGTCTAACATGAAGACCACTTCCTTCCATGAGACTAGCGGATATATTTTTTCTTTTTCTGATTATGGTACATAAGACAACTCGGCTAGTTTTTTTATTAGCAGCTTGATTTATTATTTTACTAAATTTTACGTGTATTACTTCAGTGCAAGCTAATTTTACTGGCTGAGATTTTTGTCACATTAATCATGCTAGTCTATCCTTGATTGCTGAGAATGCTTTACTAACAGCATCACCAAGAGCATCGATAGCTTTTTCACGAACAACATCAATAGCTTTCATTCCTAGTGATAATATTTATACTGGTTATTTAAGCTACCGCAATAGAGGAGGCGAAGGACAAAAATTGAGTGACTCGGAGAGAAAACGAGTCGAATAAAAGTTTGAAAACAAATACGTCAGCGATGGAGTAACGAAAATGATCTAACCCAAACGATTTGACGTTATTGTGTTTTCTCCACTGTATATAAATATTCTCGGTTAGAGGCTTCATTTTAACGTTATTGACCTTGTTTATCAGCCTTCGTAGGAACCTTTTTATTTTAGACAAACTTGCTCTAAACCAATTTGTAGGGTTCACCTCCTCTGCTACTGGTCCAAAGATGATCATTATTGAAGTTTACAAAAAGAGATGTTCAACATTTTTAGGATGTAATATACTTATTTCCAATTACAGCTAAGATATATATATATATATATATATATATATATATATATATATATATATATATATATATATATATATATATATATATATATATATATATATATATATATATATATATATATATATATATATATATATATATATATATATATATAAGAATCCTTTGAGATGCCATTCAGTTGAGTTCAACACAAAAGGAACGATACTGGATACTGCTACAGAGAACTCATGGCGAAGAGATCCCAAAGAAAAATAGTCGAACCTTCCAAATGCTAACTTTTCAAAATTCCGGTCAAGCATCAGTTTATCATTTTATCACCGGTACACAAATCTTGAGACAAAATTTATACATGTATATTCCTAACTCACTGAATGAATTTGTCTTCGTTTCCTCATGCAATTCGTACTTCTTCCTTCGTCTTCTTTTTCTTCCTTTTCTTCATTGGGTCGGGGCAGTTAAGATGGGGAGGAGGTTATATATATATACACAAATACACCACAAAGCAGCCATAAAGCTTTCTTTATATGTTTATTATTATAGCTAAATTAGGCAAAATATCAGACATTTTAGACCGATATATGGTTTATTTAAACATGCAATTTTATCCAGGCAACTTGGGAGACCCCATCATGATGATGACCCAGGAAAAAAGTAATATATATATATATATATATATATATATATATATATATATATATATATATATATATATATATATATATATATATATATATATATATATATATATATATATATATATATATATATATATATATGTATCTTCTCACTGAAGGCCAATCGGCGGTATGTAGATAAAGATCCATGTTTATAGATAAGTATAAATTGTTTCTGATGAAAAGTTTGATGAACTCGAATTGCTGGGAGAACTTTTTGTAATTTTTTTGCATTGTACAGGTGTCTCTATCTTACAGTGTTTGTCGTATTTATCTTATCAACATTTATCCTGTTTTGGCATATTTATCTTACCAACATATATCCTGTTTTGGCATATTTACATTACTAATATATATCCTATTTTGGCATATTTACATTACTAATGTATATCCTATGTTTGAATAGATATGACGAATACAGATGAATCAGTTTTAATAACTAAGAAATTCCTGCCATCAAGTATTTAACATAACAATCAATAAATTGTTCAACCATAGTAGGTTGAAGAAAACTATAAAGGGAGTACATTAAACTGATTATCTCGATATTTGATCTCCTAGTGGGGTTTCTATATTAAGTTTTCAGTTATAAATCATAACGGGATAGGATAAAACAAAAATACTGTATTTTCCTTGTAAAAATTGAAAAACTGGTTTCGCCATTACTGCTAATAGTTTTCTGAATAATCGTATATAGACGGCTATAAGTCAAGCCAAACTGCATGCAACAATGATCCTGGTCTTCAGTAGCACAATGGAGTTGGACTTGTATTATAAGCGGGTATATAAGGTAAATAGATGTAAATTATCAGCGTGTTGCGCACATGTACCTCCACAAAGCATGGACCCAGACATCTCATCCTTGACAGCCCCCAACATATAAGCGTTTGCATGGTTCGTCTGAAATTATTGCTTGAACAAACAGCGTGGACTATGACCTATCGTGAATTATGCAACATTAAACCCGGTTTTTTTTTTTCGCAGTTGAGAAACGAATGATGATGATGATGATGATGATGATGATGATGATGATGATGATGATGATGATGATGATGATGATGATGATGATGATGACAACGATGACGACGCTGATGATAAGTAATGCCATTTTAACTCAAATGTAAATAGTCTATTTTTCATTGATCTTTATTACAATGTAATACCTACAGAACCCCAAGCAAACAAAAAATATCCTCCAAAGAAACAAACACACCAACATTAGCAACCCCACCTCAAACAAATAATAAGAAACAAGTATATAGTATTAATTTGTTTATTGACATAACTTTCTCTAACACATTTGCCCTTGCCTAACTTCAACAATGTTAAACAAATAAAAACCTAGTCTGATCTGTCTATTCACATGTATTTACTCTTTTACGCATACACATATAAATATAATACAACAGTTTAAAATCAATGATTAACGCGAACAATACTAATATAAATTTAAAAATATATTTTCAAACTTAACTTCGACAAACAATATATAAATATTTTTTCTAAGAGAATATACACTTAAGTAAATAAAACTTAGTAACTGTGCAACAAAGTTTCGATTTTTTTTTTAAATTTTGAAAGATGTGAATATCTTAGTATGAATCTTACACGAATGCTTATTTCAAACGAATTTATGTTGTTGTTGTTGTTGTTGTTGCTGTTATTGCTATTGTTATTGTTTAAAGCCATTTTCAGCACAAGATAGAATATACATGGCGGCCAGTAGTGGTGGTGGAGGAAGAACCAGGGAAAAAAAACTACAGGGAGCTTTCTCACATACCCACATTGACCGAGCCCGAGACTCAAACCCACGCAGACCGAGGTCAGATGGCAGTCATCCGGGACGGTGAGCGCTTTAATTACTCGTCCAATCGGGGGCCCCTTAAATAAATGAAACTTGGCCTTGCGAGCAAAGATTGGACCTATTCGACGAATGTCTTAAATTTCAATGAAATATGCACACTTGTAAGATTATATTTGTGACATTGCGAAAAACGCGGATTTTAATTGCCCGAACATCAGAGAGTGTACTTAAACGTCTTTGAAATACATTCGGATGCCTTAGTTATTATCCCTTTCATTAGTATGAAGATATGATGTCATCTGCGAAGTCATTGGAAGGTTTTACAAATAACACCTATATGGATATGATTATATTGCTGTAAATAACAATGTATTGATATTATGGATTTTGAGATAGGATTTATGTTTTACGCAGAAGCCATTTACATTTTTCACATAATTGTTTTGATGAACCGATATATTTGTCAGGATTTTGGATGATAATATAGTTTTCTGAACTTTGTATATTTCTAATTATTAATGCAAACTATGTCTTTCCGTTTTCATTCGAGTGATAAACTTTTCTAATATTAACCGTACGCCATTTTAGTTCTGGCACTTAAGACATTTGTTAACAACAAGCGCTTTTATTTTTGGAGGAGAGATTCAGTTCGAGATTGCAAGACAGCGATTTGTTTCAATGGTTTGGTTTTGGTTTTGTGGGTTTAACGCATTTTCAGTACATGATACGCTTTACATTAGCGACCAGTATGTATGTAGAAGATCATGAGAAGAACCACCGACCCATCTAAAGCTCCTGGCAAGCTTTCACATACCCACGTTGGCCGAACCAAGACTCGAACCCATGGAAAGAAAGGTGAGATCTCAGTTATCTGCAAAGGCGATTGCCTTGGATCACAACCGCTCCGGTGGCCTAGTGGTTAGAGCGTCCGCCTCAAATGCGGGAGGTCGTGGGTTCGATTCCCGGTCGAGTCATACCAAAGACTTACAAAAATGGTACTAACAGCTGCCTCGTTTGACGCTCATCATTAAGAGGTCAGTGTTAGGACTGGTCGGCCTGGTGTCAGGATAGTGTGACAGAGTGGGACATGATGCTACATGTCTGCGGCATAATGCCCAAGTGCTAGACATCACTATAAATTGCCACACTGCAAACATCGTAGCGATATGACTGAAAAATTGTTAAAGCTATGTTAAGAATCATAATTACATCACGGGTCCAGATTTGTTTCCAACTGACCAGCTAACTACGGAGTCTTTCATATCCCTTTCAATCTCTCAAGAAAGACTCACCCAGCATCCTAGCGTTTATTTTGATCAAGAACAGTCATCATCATCGTCGTCATCGTCATCAGAAACTGTAAATGAGTTTCAACTTAATTGGCGTGGCATTAACATTATTAAAGCCAATCACTTCGAATGGAGGGAGCCTAGATCTGTTGTTAGCGTACCGGAACACAAGGATGTGGGTTCGAATCCTACCATCGGACCAACTTGGGTTACCTACCGTATTGGGCAAGGCAATTTGACTCTGCACTAAATAACTTACCTGTATATGTAAAACACCAAACCAGACCAAAGTCTGAAAGGAAACTGATACGACGTTGACATACCGAAGGATAGCTTGAAAATCTAAAGTAGTTTAAAAGGCTAATAATTTCCTACTTTAAAAAAATATTATTGTGCGTTTATTAAGCAAAATGCACATAGGGGTACACTTCTAAAAGATTCCTAGAGAAAATTTTTGTAAATTATTTCAATAGTTTCGTGGTTGTTTATTAGGGGGTCTTACATATTGAGTGTGATCGTGTGATTTGTATTTTTAACGTAGCTTTTTAAAAAAAAATCAGTCATGTTGCTACGATGTCTGCAGCGTGACAGTTTATATTGACGTCCAACACTGGGGAATCATGCCGCAGACATGTAGCATCATGTCCCACCCAGTCACATTATCCTGACACCAGGCCGACCAGTCCTAACCCTAACCTCTTAATACCGAGCGCCAAGCGAGGCAGCTGCTAGTTTTATAATATAAGTGTTTAGTATGACTCGTCTATGAGATCGAACCAGCGACCTTTCTCATCGGAGGTGGACGCTTTAACCAATTAGATTGATGTGTCTTTATCTACATTTGTAATCAAATGGAAGACTATGTCACTATACATGGATGGATACGGTAATATCGAACAAGTGTCTCAAAAAATGCCATGTAATAAGTTTTGAGTCGATAATACTGCACTTAACCGGCTAAAAATATTCATCCATTCATATATTTTTTTTAGATATTTATCTCATAAAAAATGTAGTCGAATTGTATTGAACTTCCAGATAAAAACCTTTTCAAATAGCGACAATCATTATTAGGCTTGTGTTTGATTTGATGTTATTCTACCTTTCTCCTGGAGCGCTGATCTCTATACAGAACTGTGTATAACATTGTGCTCCATTCAAATATACGTTGTTGTATAGCACCAACGCGAAATTACCTGTATTTAGTACCTAGCTGTGGCATTGTTATGCGCTTTAGTTTCCAGGCGTTAGATAGATAATCTGTTGAAACACGAGCCAAAATTTCATCTCTTAGTCGATCGAAATCCTTGAAAGTTACTTAGATCCTCGTTTTCATGTCATTGATTAGTTTCAACTTCGGTTAAATACAGGACGTAGTAGTGACTGAAATTGCAAAGTCGCATTGAAATCAAGGTATTTATGTCTGTTTCTCTTTAGACGTTTGTTTGTCTGTTTCGTCATTATTCTGCTTTTCGCCTTAAATTTTTGTTTAAAAATATGTTTAGGAACATTTTTTTTTACCAATTGATGTGCGTATATTTACATCCATATCCACAGTTCGACTAACGTTGCACTGTGCTTGTATGAATATTATTGTAAACACAAGATGGTAAATTTGCAATGTCTTTATTAGAGTAATTTTTTTTAAAAAACACAATGGTAAGATTCACATGTAGAAACATCTAAGTAACAGGAAAGTCACAGATTCTTAATTATTGTATATGAAATTCCAACACGCCAAACTTACAAACTTTTTTCTCTGTAAGAATCGTATGTTCTTATAATCGTAAATACATTGTATTCATTCTTTTATAATCAAAAGACTATGTAAGACTGATCCGACACGATGTAGTTGAATCTTTAATCATACATACATACATACATACATACATACATACATACATACATACATACATACATACATACATACATACATACATGCATGCATGCATGCATGCATGCATGCATGCATGCGTGCGTGCGTGCGTGCGTACGTACGTACGTACGTACGTACGTACGTACGTACGTACGTACGTATGTATGTATGTATGTATGTATGTATGTATGTATGTATGTATGTATGTATGTATGTATGTATGTATGTATGTATGTATGTATGTATGTATGTATGTATGTATGTATGTATACATATGTATGTATGTACATATGTAAATACATATACATACATATGTATACATATACATACATACATATATACGTACGTACATACATACATACATACATACATACATACATACATACATACATACATACATACATACATACATACATACATACATACATACATACATACATACATACATACATACATACATACATGCTTGTATATAAATCTGATTTATTTTCATAATTTAAACCCAATTTTCTCATTAGTGTATTAGCTGTGTGAAATATTTTGCAAATTTGTTGCAGTTTGTAAGCAAAAATTTGGATTATTGTACTAGAAGTTGATTCAGAAGGACATTATTAGTGGAAATGAAAAGTTTACAGATATTGAGAGAGAGAGAGAGAGAGAGAGAGAGAGAGAGAGAGAGAGAGAGAGAGAGAGAGAGAGAGAGAGAGAGAGAGAGATAGAGAGAGAGAGAGAGAGAGAGAGAGAGAGAGAGAGAGAGAGAGAGAGAGAGAGAGAGAGAGAGAGAGAGAGAGAGAGAGAGAGAGAGCATAATAAAGTCCTGCATAGATTGGCAGTTCCATATTTAACGGAATAGGTGATTATATCTATCATGTTCTTCACTTAAGTACATTCCTTGTTTGCCTGTTAACACATTCCTTGTTTGCGTGTTAACACAATCCTTGTTTGCGTGTTAACACATTCCTTGTTTGCGTGTTAACACATTCCTTGTTTGCGTGTTAACACATTCCTTTATTGTCCATGTTTTTTTTTTTCCTCAAATGTAGTAACCTAATTTGCGTGTAAAAAGTCAATCAATGATTAAGCGAATACAAATCAGATGACTATTTAACTTCTTTATTTGTTCTGCAGGTTGGTGGGCTTGAAATAGACAAAACGGAAAATCAAATACAGTTCAAAAATTGAACATGATCTTTATTGAATGCAGTGATATTTTCAAGAGTTACAAGTTCTACATAATGGTCATTTTGAAGAACGTGAAATGACCATAATAGTCACGTATATAGAAAGAACAAATAATATGATAATAAAAAGGTAAAAAATACAAAGGTCAAACAATACCGAATCCACCAGTTTTTTGTTATAAACAGGCAACATGTTACGAAATATTTTATGTTCGCTCTCTGGCAAGGTTACAATCCATTTTCACACCCACAGGTGAAAATCGTTTGCCCCAGGCTTATGACGATGGGTTACTAGCATATCATTATAATTATTCATGATCCAATAAATGAATAAAATTATAAAAATACAATAAGCTGCTACTACTGATTTTATGTCTTTGGGATGATTAGATCGGGGTTCGAACCAGTGACCTCCCGTATCCGAGTGGGATGCTCTTACCAATTAGGCCACACGCGCAGTAATACCTGTAAAGTAAACCTATCTTTAACAGCCGTCCTTCTTCTGCAACAGTTTCCTCTCGATAGTGTACGCATACATGTTTCCATGTTGACAGAGTCCCATCTAATAAATCCAGAGTCACATTTTCTGAGATAAATACAAATATTATAAAAGAAAACGATAAATAAGTTGTTCATTTATGGTATTGCGAACAAATCAGTTCAGTTTTCTGCGTCATATGATGCGATAAAAACCAGATATGTAAATATATACTGATATATCTACTCCAGGAAGTACCTACCTCAGAAGCTAGCCTTAATTGATATATATATATATATATATATATATATATATATATATATATATATATATATATATATATATATATATATATATATATATATATATATATATATATATATATCAGCCATCCAGGAGTGGGATTCAATAATCTGCAAATTAGATCGCTACTTAACAACCATCCTAGTGTTGGAATCGAATAATCTGCATATTAATTCGATCGCTAATTAATTACTAGTTGTTCAAATTATGATTTTGAATAATATGTATATAATCAGTTAACTAATTACCAGCTATCCAAAAGATAAGTTTGCATCCTTACGCGCAGGATTGTACTGAATACGGGATGTGCATTGTTCAAACTATTTTTCAGTGATTGTTTGAGACATATGGGCGGATCCCGCCATATCGCTTCAAGATATGCATCTCGTTCATTACAAGTATTTTCGCTGTCTTTATTTTAAATAAATATTATAAGAGTGCATTGTTCGAAATTTGAAAAAAAAAAACCAAATGTTGTTTCTGGGGAGAGAGTTCTGACCAATAACTAGCTATAATTAAAAAAAAGAAAACAAAAAAGATAAAGCCTACTAAAGAAAAAAAAATGTGCGTCACCGGCTTTTAATATGCAACATGCTGTTATAACGACTGTTATCTGAATTTAAAAGATATTTATTCTTGCGTATGGTTTTAAAGGCAGTCGTGAACCTAACAATAATTTTTTTCAAGGTTTACAATCTAAAGAAGTAATGTTCATGTCTTGTTGATACTGTAATCTGGCGTGTAATTGTACAAGTACCCAATTACAATTCATGTCTGAAACAAAACGTAACAACACGTTATTCAATTAGGACACATGACCGAAGACTATACAGACAATAACAGATCC